CTAAGTTATACAACCATTGCAAAAACCTGCAAGCATTGAGTGGCCGTTTTGTTTTAGTATGAGACTCAACAGTGCACATCCACGACCCAACAACCGGGATAAAAACCAAGGAGTTTCAGTTTTGAGCGCGAACGAAACCTTAGGAGCTAGAATCCAACGGTATAAAAGATTAACATTAGTAAATCCACGATATTGCGCGAACATCTATTATTTTCAGTGGATACCATCCTCAAATAAACAAATAAGCTCCACTTACTACGGCTTCTAACTGAAGCTACGGAAATTTCCTCTTGAGGTTAGTCACTAATGAGCATATAACTGTCGGAATGAGTTGTGGAGGCTATTAGAATCGCATTGAAATAGCGGACTGATCTAAGTTAAACAACCATTCCAAAAACCTGAGGACACTGGATGATTGGCTCATCCTACTATGGGACCTACGGTCTCGCATGAGAACGCTTAACTTCCAGACCACTGAGCTGCTATCCAACGGTATACAAATCTAACCACAATCCAATCCACGTTACCATCTTCAAAATATTATTTTCATTGTATACTCTCAGTAATTCTAGAGTGTCTAGATGAAATTCAAAACGACTTATTACTGAATAAATAAGCATTGTTTCTCTTTAATTTCCCTATTTATAATAAAATATGTACAGAAATTAAAGAAGAAAAACTAAAGGATAATAAATTTGTAATTTCAGTAAAAAAATTAATGATTATTTTAAGACTTCTTATTCATTCTCATTGATACAACGAAAGAGATCTATCTACGGTAATATTAAACAAGTAAAGACTATGCAGAGAAAAAAAACTTTGTATATATTAATATCATTTAATAAAACAGAAAAATCGTATTCACATTCACTTAATATATTTATAAATTAGTAGTTTATTGAAAAACTAGAATCCGATTACGTAATAAACTGATTGGAAGTGTAAAATATCTAAATGGAAGCTAAATAGTGATTTAAAGGTTAAAGAAAGAAAATATATAGTTATGGGATCAAAAGTCAACTATGGAAGATAATGAACCTTTTCAAGTTTTTCACAGATTGAAATCATGAGTTAATTGAAGCTAGATCACCATGGAAAACCTGGAAGCACTGGACGGCCGTTTCGTCCTACTATGGGACTCCTCAGCAGTGCGCATCCACGATCCCGCACCCCGCGAGATTCGAACTCAAAACCTATCAGTCTCGCGCCAGGCGCTTAACCAACTAGACCACTGAGACGGCATCCAATGGTGTTGATGTCTAACTTCAACCAATCCACAATGTAGCGCCACCATACACCAGTGTCTTCAGTGAACTGATATCTCACAACAGACCTGGTTGTCATCTTCATTGAATTGTCTTTACTCCTTAATTATTAAATTTACATTAGTCTAACATTATTTTCAGTTGGATATTTTTCATATTTATATATGATAAATAAACATTTGGAAGATATATATATATATACTGTAGTGGACGCAATTTGGTGGGGATGACCAATTTATTGTTTAGCACAAAATTACACAGTGCCTTCATAAGATATGAAAATCATACATTAAAATCATTATTTGCACATCTTCCATCAGTTGTCCATTAAATACTTCATAAATATTCAAATTATGTTGCTCTGTTTCCATTCCTGTTCTCTTCAATTCAATTTTCTGCTCGCAGACATTCCACTTCCGATTGCTGATACATACTACTTATATCTGTCAGCATACGCAGCACATATCATATACTCATATAATATGTCAAGGAGTGATGATTATTTTTCCAAATATTTTAGTTGAAATCATGAACTGATCAATGTTAGACAACCATTTAAAACCTGGAAGCACTGGACTGCCATTTCGTCCTGGTATCCAACTCCTCAGCATTATGCAACCACGATCAAGCGCGCGAGACTCGGTTCCTAGATTGAATACTGTAGGTAATGGATATGGATAACTTCTAAAAAAAGACTTAATTCTAACTTACTGTCGATTAGGTTAATTTGTTCTCATATTTAATTAGATTCCGATAACAGTCCTCAGAGTAAACTCATTACTTCAGAAAATGTATGAAATCAATACAACCCTTATGCTACCCCTCATCAGACATGTCAAAAAAGAAACAACTTTCACCAAACGTATCAGATGATCGTTACGCTATATCATCACAAATGAGTTGAAATTCTACCCATAAGTTCTAATCATTAAACATTCATCATGATACGTGAAGCTCCCGGACTCTATCCTTAATGAGCTTGTGGTCACGTATCGTTGATGAGTCACGTTGTAGGACGAGGTATCTGTTTACCATCGTTTGATTTACAATAATATTACAAATGAGATCAATCTATGATGAATACATTATACAAATATAAGCACGTCAATAAACAGATACCAAAAACAAAACATTTATGATACACAAAAAAAACACAACAATATTATAATTAGTAATGGGAGAAAACATTAAATATGTCATGATTCTTCAATGTGTTCTTGTGTGTTTTTTTCTTTCTGTATTGATACATAGTGAAATTATGCAACTGCATGTGAAACTATATTTATTTACAAAAAGTTGACCAGTGAAAAAAAAAGTGTAAGAATACAGAATAAATCAATAGATCAGGTGAATCTCAAAAGTAGTAAACGAATAATTAAAACAGGTAGGAAACACACACACACACACAGACACTAGCAAAAGGTAATACATGTCTCTTATCATGTATATTGATATGTAAATTGATAATAGTTAAAGTATTTACACTTCATCAGATTTTAGATAAATCAATGACAAAATAAATAAAAAAAAGAAAACTGCTAGGATAAATGAATGAAAGGAGAAAAAAAAAGAAAAATTGTGTATGTACTGTAAAATTGAATGTGTTTGTCGGATACAAAAGAAAAAGAAAAGAAAACACAATTATAAGAGACTTTAAGTATGTTACATGTAATTCATTCTTTTTCTTTTTATAATATGATGAATAGATAAATTTGAAGGATAGTTAAACAAGTTGTTACTTGTGAGATACAAATGAAAATTTACTCATTTAACATATATATGATTATATTTAGCAATATATAGATCATTCAGAACAATGAAAGAAATTACCATTGAGATGTATAAATGGTGAGACCTTTGAGTAATACTTAGGTGATCTTGAGAATGTCCACTTATTTACTATGATTAAATGAGGTTTGTAAATTAGTGTAAGGAATTAAGATTAGGACGTTAGGGGTTAGGAATTAGAATTAGCGTTTTCATCACGAACTGACATTGACTATAATTCCAAAATTGTATTTAGTTATATGAACCATAAACATTTCGAGCTATAATCTAAGATGTGCTATCTTAAGTCTGATTAGTTCATCTCAAAATTATAGTCTCGCTATAATTATGAATTGTTGTGGGATTAATTCAAAGATAAATGTGAATGGGTGGTCAGTTATCATGTTCCAAGGATTAATTGAATAAACTACTTGATAGTATGAGATTTGAAAAGTTCTCTTACACAATCAACTATTGACAGTTGTCAAGTAAGAATAAAGAGGTAAATACTAGAACAAGTTAAGTAGAAATAATAAGATGAGAAGTACGAACTAAAGAATGACAAGAAAGTAGTAAAATGTTATAGTCTATTAAACAAAATATTGAATAAACGCATAAGGTATGTTGATGTCCAATGTAATGAAAATGACTGAGTAAATTTCTTTGAAAAATAGAATGAAATAGTAATTAAAATACTGGACTCTCTACTTATAAGTCAAAGATGCCAACTCCACTTCACCCAACTTTAGTCTGGACAGATGAATAGTATCACTATCCCTCACACAAACAATGTGCCAGAGAGATGAGAACAAAATTACACATTTCAAATGTGCCATATTGTCTATACAGTAAAGGTAAACGTAAATCATGCGCGAAACTACGTGGAATATGATAAAAACCACTCTCCGAAAAGTTTCGTCTGGTCAATATTTACCTACATCATTAAAATATCATATTACGCTATGAATCAACAGTAGTTGAACGGATTGTAGATGTAAACACGGCTTCATCTACTTTGAACTAGAAAATCCTGGTAAGACTATTATGTCTAGCACATTAATTATAACTTACAGACAAGCATATGCGGAAATCCAAGGAGTTAACCAAAAGATTTTTCAGTATTGTGCTAATAAGCTTATAACAAACTTATGTAATAAAGGCATTTTTAGAGACAGAAGTATAGAGCACTGATCTTGATCATGTACACTACTGTTAAACAAATACAATACTGAACCTTTAAGCTGATGTAATATTTAAAAATAATTCTTGCTGTCATTTGAGGTTGTTGGATACTGACATAATGAACATTGAACCAAGAAATATTTGTATCACTTCTATCTTAGTTACTGAGTAATTGATATATTTTTCCCTGTGTTATGAAATTTCCCAGTTCAATTATTATAAACACCTAAATGTATTATTTGATTTGACATTTTAATTATTCCAATTACTTAATAAAAATGTAAATTAACCATGTGTGAAATTGAGTAGTATCCTAGTAAAAACACTACATCATATACTTAAAGAATATGGAATTATTTATAATTTAAATGATGAGTTTTTCTTAATAAAAGTCAAATATTTGTGATAATTTATTGATATAACTTACCTTGCTTAGAATATGGAGGATCCACCTAAGGGAATCGAAAAACTATTAATCCAAATCAATGGTGTACATGCGCTCCACAACCCTAAAGGAACGAATGGTGTATGGATTTACTGTGTGTTACCGGCTACCATGAGATTGCATCTCCTAACGATACTTCACCGCCTTGTGGATTAGATTTCTAGGTCAAAAGCTCTGGGAGTGGCCCCCTAAGAAAACAACCTGTTTCGGTTTTGGCACCCGGATAGTATCCTAGCCATCACACAAATCAAACGAAGTGTGAAACATATACATTTGGTCTCCCCATGTATTAATATTTATGGGTTTAAATAAATATAAGATAACTTACTGATACAACTTACTTTGCTTAGAATAATTTCAGGAGCTAAATATTCTGGTGTACCGCATAGAGTCCATGTTCTACCTTTTACACGTTTAGCAAAACCAAAATCTGTTATCTGTAAACAATATTTATGGAAATTACAGAAAATATAGAAAAAAATACATTCAATTAACTTTATTAAGAGATTAAACAAATAATTAATATCAAAAGGGGTTTTTGTGGATATTATAGTAATTTCAATGGTTGAGATCGTGAGTCAATTGAAGCTAGACCACCATGGAAAACCTGGAATCACTGGACGAGTGTTTAGTCCTATTGCGGGATTCTTCAGCAGTGCGCACTACTGAGTAGCTAAGTAGTTAAAGTATTTGACATTCATAACCAATAATGTCACAGATTTAAGTTGTGTTTAGACTATTTCGATTTGTATAATCAGCTAATATCAATAATCCTCACACATACAGTATAAATTAAAGCTGAATACATATATGCATTGATAAGTTGGAAAAAGTGGTAAGATCATCATCATCAAAATATTAAAAATATTTCTATAATTGTGGTTACTTCTCTTGAGTTAAATCAAACCTTTCTTTTAGTCTATTATAACGCCACTGTACTTAAGGCATTGTTTTCATTAATTACTCTATGTGATTCTAGGGTATCTAAAACAACACCTAAACAATTTATTGTTGAATAACTATGGATCGTTTTTTTCTTTACCATTCCCCCATCTATTCTAAAAATTGAGCGAAACATGCAATATCATTCACAAATAAATTCCATCATGTTGGACAAGTAGACATATTAGCGAATACCGACTACCAGTGAAATAACACGATATGTTACCATTGACAACAATCCATACAGACAAATTAGATTCGGAAAACGTCGAAGTTCTGGATTAAAAAAAAAGAATGTTAACTAATGTCTAGAACCGTGGCATTTAGGTCAATCTCCAATCAATGAACATATCGAAAAAGAATCAGTCAATCAATCAATCCCAAAAGGAAAAAGTCAATTAATCACATGACTGAAAGTCAACCGTAAACCATAATTAACAGAAATCCTTGATAGATTAGAACATTAAAACTTGAAATAACAAACCGATTTACAAACAAATTAATCAGAATGAACTAATTGAGCGTTTAATGCAGAATGAATTAAATTATCTGACTCAGAGAACAAAAAATGTCTGTAGAAAAGAACAAGGCGATACAGAGAGAACAAGAGAGATTGGTACTAGATAATCTCGGTAATAATAAAAAACTCAATTCCAAATGCCGACCGATTAATAAGCGTTTAAAAAGTTTTAAATGAGTGATCCTCAGGAAAAAAGAAACAACTTTTCATTAGTTTACGCTTCACATACAGTTCTTCTGTTGTATCATGATCTCTCCTATATTTTACTCAAGATTAACTGAATTAATAATTCCGATAGGATAACATGTAACAAATATACAAATTTGTCGTGATATCTGACTTATTTCTAAAACCTCCTATTGTTTAACGAGAAGTTATGCAAAATAATGTTGGTTTCCACTATGAACCAGAATAGCTCCTTGAGAACCATTCACCTCTAGACAGATTTTTCATATAATTAAAAGGTTCCTCAAGGATACCATCTCTACAACAATTTAAGGTATAGCATACAGTACTTACAATTCTAACGGCAAGCATGATACCGTTTGATAATTGAGTTGAAATTCAATAGTCTACATTTCAAATTCTTGTCTATCAACAAAACTACTATACTGCATAAATCGTTTAATGAATACAAATTAATTATCAACTTTAAGTCCTCAATAAGAAAAGGATTGCAGAAAGATATATATATATATATATATATATATAAAGAAAAGTTAGAATTGGTCTTCTTTCAAGTTTCCTTGACAATAAATAACACCAAAAACGGTAATTTGAGCCCAGAAAACACCGCGTAGATGTTTTATTTTAAGATGAGACTTGTCATCAGCAGTATGAATTCTATGTTTACTGGGTAGGAACTTGAACTATTATTTTTATTGTGATATTATTTTATCCATTGAAATTAACATTCATTGATTACGATAATCGATCTTTACTCGATTATCATAATGAAAAAGACTGACTACGAACGTTACTCTCTTGAATTTTAATCCCTATTACACTACCTATTGGAAAACTGAACACCACCTACTACTTCGATGAGCGATGTTTACTAGTGTTGAATTAAGCTGGAAGAAAGCCTGAAGGTAACCTAAATCAAGAAATGATATCATTGCATTAAATTATTGACGATTAGCTTAAAATATATTGATAGATGTAGGTTACCTGGTTAAGGTCAGCGAGATAACTGTGATCAATCGATGAAGATTCTAGGTAACATAACTTAAAATCACTTACATGGATTTACTCTGTATGCTCTTCTTGATCTTGAATTCCTGTACTCCTTCACACATACCTTCTCATCCTACCACATCAAACCGAATGTTTAGTACCTTTTTTCAATTTGCATTACTGCTACATTATTTTCAATCTTTCATCATTCATCTTACTAATTTCATCTATGTATGTTTATATGTTACAGGAACTTTGAGCAATACACATCTGTTAGGTTTTACGTTGATTATGATCTATTGGAATTCTCACCATTGATTATAAGAAACATTATATGACATTTAGTTTATTTAACTGAATCGATGAATATTATCTTCATGAGTCAATAGTTTCTATGTAGCATTTTCCGGATATCAATAGATATTTTCTTTATTTAATTTTATAGGACAATAATTTTACAAGATGTCAGAAGTAAACACATTGATAATATAAGTCACTATTTTTTATCAGTTACATCATCAGATCAATTAATTTATAAATGAATATTAATTAATTAAAAATAGTCAAAGCTGAATTCACGAGTCAATCTAAGCTAGACCACCATTAAAAACGTGAAAACACTGGACGGTTGATTCGTTCTAGTATGGGACTCCTCAGCAATAGGCATCCACGATCTCCACAAATTCTCAAAATTAAAAATAGTCGACAAGTGATATTTCAACTCGATTTACAGAATTTAATTATCAGTGTGCATTAAATAAACTTGACACTGACCATTAGTCTACCTAATGATCAACCAATGTAAACAGATATCAACAGTCATAGTAACAGTCCTGGTATTTATTATAATAAGCCGAAATTTTCAAAATTTCAACTAATTTTATGAAACCTTCCAAAACAATATTCTGACAATCAATTATTCCTTCATGAGACCACAATTACGTTTTCTAAGTTTGTTTCCTTCCTTCTTTTTTTTTACTGTCAACCATACTTTGTTACTTGTAACTAGAACTGACATCCCGTATATCAAATAATAATAATATATATATATATATAGGCGTGAATAAATATAGTCTCATACTGCCAACACTTATTTGCTTTACTACATTCGAACGAAAAGCAAATGAAGATAACAGTAGTAGTAGTCCGTAGCAAGTAGTGAAAGAATCATTAGTATTTGTTTCTATTTCTATCAATAAAAATTGTCAGATAAATGTGTATGATAGTATTAGTAGTAATGGAATCAATAAGTAATTATGCTAACCACGTTTTATAGTTTCAAGTCTCGTTATATCAGAGAACCATTAAGAATATTGTACTATGATGTAATCAATTCACCAGTCAATTTGCGTTAGACAATTACAAACTGAAACATACATATGTACATACAGGGAATACATCAACTACAAACACACACAGAGAGAGAAGAACAACAACAACTACTTAGGTAAACTAAAGTGACAAAAAGGCAGAAAACAGTCTAACATTTTTATCCATTACCACCCAACTAAAAATCGTAATAATAATAATACAAATAGCAAGATAACGTAAACGTGAATGAAGTGTAAAAAAATAGTCCTAGAAGGAAAAATTAAAGATTTATTTGGTATTTTATTTCCGTAAAATGGAATACTAGACGGATCAATAATGAAATTCTAGTAAGAATCTTAGGGAAGTGGATCAATAACCAATTAATCCACGTTATCTGTAAGATATAATCCAAAACTTAAGTGGAGGTTGTGATTTAGTGTGTGGTTAAGCCATTCAATTTTTGACCATCAGGTTGTAGGTTGTAAAACCCTGCTTCGTCTATTTCATTTCAAGTAGTAAAACGCCAGTTCTAGTAGAGAAACTGAGAATCGAGTTTGTAAAGTAATCAGAATGCTTAGATAATTCCTTGAAAAAACTTACTGTGTTGTTAATATCGGACTGGACTATTATTCAAAGTGTTACACATTTTGGCTTCCAATAGCTTAAGGTCATATATGTTCACGTAAATACCCTTATTTTTGTACATAAACACAAGGGTTTACCTAATCTCAAATAACTCTCAACATAGATCATGTGTCATATAATCAAATGCAAAAGAAACACTTCCGCGTTATTTATCTACAATTAAACAAGAAAGAAGACGATATTCAGAGTCTAAAAATTGTATCCAATACATGTGGTATAGAAAGACGTCTTGAATTAATACTCAATTTTGACTTCAAACGATTTATCTGTTACCGATCAAATTCAGGGAGGTAGAAGCAAATTTAGTGGTTGGACAAACAGATCTGCACAACAAAATCAATATTAATAAACCAAGGATAAATATACTCTTTCATACCGTCTCATCTAACGTTTCTATTATCTAGTCAATTTATCCATGCAATTAAACAATAAAGTTTTATTAGATACCGTAATTTACCCTACCCTGTTTTTAAATGTACAATATAAAAAATAGTGTTAATTAATACCTTCCAATACTGATTCCTGATATCTAAGAAACCGAATAAAAAATATTGTATGAAAGTTACCTATATTACTACTACACTAGTAAAAACATTATCAAGATCATCAAAAATGGTGCAGTCGCATTGGCTGTTTCACAATGGTATTTATTCAGAGACCTATCCATCTCACCTACAAATCTGTCGAACATTACTACTGCTAACCATAAATTTCAAGAGTAGATTTAATTAGAGTTGGACAGTGGGTAGCAGTGAAATCCAGTTTGATGCGTGTTTCGCCATACTTGGGACACTTCAGTTGAATATACCTGTACCCAATTGATAATGTTCTTACCAAGGGTCGAACTCAAAACCTTTCGAATTAAACAACCAACGAGTTTCAGACAGAACAAAATGTATGTCCAAGATTCTACTGTTAGCCACTGAATGACAATATAGAGGGAATTTACACAGAATGCATAAATGTCAAAAAGAGACTGATCAATTTTTAAACCTTGACATCAACAACGGTAAGAAACAAATACTTTCAAGAGTAGATTTTTTTAAAGAAAATAACCACAAAGCTTAATGTAAAATATTTAATTAATATATAATTGATTTGAAAATAATTTGGTTGATAGCAGTCTAAAAATTGAAGTGTAAAACAACTGTTAATAGGATGCATCGTTTTATTGTGAGTTCGAGTCACATATTGTTGGCATGGAATTGATTTTTTTTTTAAACAGAACTAGTTTTCAATAAGTGAGTTGTAGAAAGTTGTCTGCTTAATTTATTTACACTTATATATGACATTAAAAATAGTGTATTTTGTAAATAACATACAAATGTAGATGGTATTAATCATATATCTAAAAAGCTATAAACCAGATGAGTTAAGAATCAGAGTCATATCGTTATTGTTGGATTAGGAAAAAAGGAGTTTACTTTTTAATCAGAAATCTTAAATCAATGTTAATATAAATATTATAAGCGGAGATGGATGGTAGATAGCAGTGCAATTCAGGAAGCGCGTCTCGTCCTACTTGAGAATCGTCAGTTGGGTGTACCTGAAACCTAGAGTTAATGTACACTACAGGACTCCAACCCAGTACAGTTCGCTTCAAACACCATCACGATATTCATTTAGCTATTGATTACAAATAGCCACTAGCCTGTGCAATGGGTTAAAGTTTAATTCATTTTTGTATTAGTTATCTGAATCTTCCCACTGACGTTTCAAATGTTAGCTTAAATTTTCTTGTTACAAAGTAAAGGGATAATGTACTCAACTTTAAGCCATATTGTTTATATGACTAGTGAGGTTATTACGAGGTTCGAACTGTCAATTTATTGGTTGAATATGAAAAGCACTTAAATCACTTAACCACTGTTCCATCAATAAAATGAAATCGTGTTAGTTTCCGTTGTTGTCACTTAACTGTTCAGTGATTTTTTTCTCCGCTTTTATGACTGTAACTTAGAGAATCAAGATAGTGTATATCACAATAAAATGATTAACCCTAAACAGTAACACAGGTTACAATGAAAACTAAGCCAAAATTAACAATAGATCAGTTGCAAACAATGTCAGTCAGTTACAAAATAGGACCAGGCATCGGTCCAAGTTGCCAAGTCGCACAAGATGAACACCGGATTCATAGAAGTACAACTTGGTAAACATTTTCATCAGCTCAAATCACCACATTATATACAGTAAACAGTGAAGTGATGAATCCAACATGAATGGAAAGTAAAGAGGAGTATAATACTGACTACAACCATTGGCAATACATAAAAAAATAGTTTGAAAACTCTACAGTGACAATAGACTTAGAATTTCAAGACAGAAAAAAACTCCATACTACTTCAGTAAAACCATCAATTCTCAGCCATCATATCTAAGGATTTCAATTGTAATTCATGATTATTGTCGAGCTCTCAAAACGGAGGTCAACAAGGCTTTTAACAGTGATCAATCTCTTCGAAAACGACTATCATAACTTAGTTTGACTGACATTATCCTTCCCCTTCCAACATATCCCTATGTTAACCAACATCTCTCATCAGAATAATATGAAAGGAATAACTTCAAATAACAAATGTCCTAACCAACTCAGACTTTGAAGATTCACAACAGTGTCAACTTATTTGCCATCAATACCCTACAATTGTATAATTATGGCATTACTCACTCAGATGGTTTCACCATAGATACAAATAATGTTTCGAAAAGATCGTTAATCATATACTAAATCTTAAGCAGAGATCGATGATGGTTAGTAGTGGAATCCAGGATGCCTGTCTCGTCCCATTCGGGACATATCAATTGGATATACCTGTTGTTTGAGAGTTGATATTCACATTAATGGGAAGATTTAAATAGACAATATAAATAATGAATATCTTCTTCAAGGTTTTTGTGATTATTATCACTATGTAGTCATATTACAAAATATGTTTCCAAATCTACAAACGATATATAACATGACAATTCAAACAGACTATGCTTGTCAGTCAGTCAGTTACAACGTAGGACCAAACACATACATGCATCGGTCCAAGTTGCCACACCTTATTAGCACAGCATGACGAACACCGGATTCATAGAACCAGTTAACTCAATGGTGTAATATATAAAGAAAAGATTTTTATGTAAGAATATAGTACAGAAAGAAAGAATTAGTTTGTACAAAGAAAGATATGAAATAATTTTAATTATATAGTTTAAAGTAAGACAGAGAGTGTATACACCTACACCACTGTGATCGATTCTAAGCCGCGTCACCCACAGTCTCCAACCATTGGTTACGATAGTCGCACGAACCCCGACCAAGTAGTCCACATATACCAACATGGCTAAGACTAAAAATTAGCGACAGCACTCAAGATTATGCTTGTCAACATGACTTAATATTACTCTATTTATATGTAACATTTGTACATTGTATAGTCAAGATACTAACTCAAATATATCTACTGAAACAAAATAAGAAATTTATTTATAAATTCTCTATATTTTTGATATCGAATCCGACAACATTCATTACTAAGCTAATTAATTTTATTAATATACAATTTAATGAAAACATTATGATGAGATCACATTGAAAACTTAATAATGAAATTGTTTATAATAACTCAATTATTATTCTTTATTCTATATCGTAGTACATTTATTTATTATTATAAATATTTTTCATCCAATTCAATTTTATAAAATACATAAACCAATTTAAAGTTAATTTTCGTCATCGATTACTTTCATATATGGGAACTAATGAAAACTAAAAAGGTATTCAATAATTGATTTATTAGAACCCAGGACTTATCAGTCTCGCATGCGAGCACTTAACCGTTACACCACTGAACCAGGCAGCATCCAACAGTGTTAATGTGTAACTTTAACTAATCCATGAAATTGAGTGACACATCCATCATTGTCATCAGTAAGTTATTATCTCATAATAGACCCAGTTGAACTCCACTGAAGTCTCACAATAAGATGAAACGGCCGTCCAATGCTTACAGGTTTTTCATGGTGGTCTAGCTTCAATTCACTCATGATCTTAACTATTGAAATTAATACAATCTTCACAAAAAATTATTGGTTAAAAAGTCTAATAAATATAACACATTGGTCAAGTACAATCTTTTTCTTATGATCAACTTTCAGTCACATAACTGGTTAAGATCAAAATAGAAAAAGTGGAATTCAATCATTTCCAATTAAATAGTGAAATATTGGAGTGAATTTAAACGATATTATCAACATGAATAAATAAAAAAAAGCAAACCAATTGAAAATACCTTTAAATATCCATATTGATCAATAAGAATGTTTTCCGGTTTCAAATCTCTGTAGACTAATTCTAAATGATGTAGATATTCAAATGCCAACACCACTTGACTAGCATAGAATCGTGAATGACTTTCACTGTATACATGGGAAAATTAAAAAGAAATAATTGAAAGAAAATTCAGCATAAAGATATACTTGTAGGATTTTTGATTATGATCAAAAACAGTACATAATGTTGAGTAATCTAAATTGTTGAATGATAGGATTCGATCTCATTGACTGATAACTTGGATTCCAAGTAAACTGTTTTGACATTTAATTTGTCGTTTTAACACTACGTACAAACGTATGCTACTTTTATTCCAGATCATGTAGTTTAGCTTCAAACTTTTATTGGAAATAAGTCTATATAATTGAATCTCAAGTGTTTTACAGTTAGCGACTGATACATTCATTGTGTATTAGTCTGATTTATTTTTTTTAAATGAAAATATCATGGATATATTCACGAGAATAAGTAAAGAATCTGAGTAACACAGTATGAATGAAATTAGATCAAACAGGAAGACAATCAAAATAAATGTGCAAACAATAAAAGAACAAATTTTTGGCGAAAAAAAACCCAAGTCAAATTTGATACAGACAAAACAATTTGTAAGAAAATTGTAATATTTCACTTTAATCTAAAAATTTGTCTCGATAGAGTTGTTTACTAAGACAATGAAAGTTTCTTGATTAAATTCAGAGGATTCAACTCCACCAGAATCATTCACTTGATCCATAAATCTTTTTCATCAATGTAATCATTTGTAATTCTCTAAATCTTGGGCATTTCACTTCTCTACATTGATTTACCATATTGTGATAGTCATTTCGGTTATTATATTACTCTTTGATTCTTCTAGTTTTCAGTCGTTGAAAAATGTGCTAATACAAACCGATAGATTTTAATTTATCATTTCAAATGATATATCATAAATTTAGCTAAATCGCTTATAGAAATTTGTATAATATAAAGTTGTTTTTTTTCATCACAGATGAAGACTATCTAGGAGACCAGTGAAAACTAAGAACCGGTGAACAGCTATACATACATATGATGCCACCAGCGATTAAACCCTATAATCATTATGTCACAATATGAGCTTGTCTTTTAAAACGTTAAAGTTCAATTATCAACCAAATTTTTAACTTAATCCATTTCATATTGCTTAAGGTATCGCAAATTTAACTAAAATATCCATGAATATAATGGTTTAATTATTCGTTTGACACTCATTTATATTACTCATATAAAGGTACCCGCTGTAAATACAGATAGATACAAAAAGAAATTAAGCATTCTAAAAACAATTAAAAAAATGATTTACAAAAACAATCCAAAAAGCAATTCTATACAGATACCTATAACAGTTCTAATCCATTGGTGAAATTTAACACTTGATTATTTTTTTAAAAAAATTACTTATCAAAACAAATATGCTAAAAAAGTTACACGTCATGCATTTTTAGTGAGAATGAATAAAAATTTTCCATTTATAGAGAAATTGAGGGAGATAAATTTGGCATAGATTCGTTGTAATTTGATTCAAATGACAAATCATGTAATATAACTGGAAGTTTCTACAGACTACCATATATATATATACGATCCTTTTATAATATCCCCTGCTTGAATCAACTAACCTATTGAAATGTATTGTTCTTCCACGAACAGCATTCCTTAGCCTTTAAATGAAACATAATTTAATCACTATATAGTAAACAGTAGAGCTTACACAGTGATGAATTTACTTTACATGTTAGTATAATGTCCAAAAACAGTTCATAATTCGAATAAACATGTAAGTTGAATGATACTCTGAGTTTGTTTATTTTATCTTGAAATATATCATTCATAGGATCTGATAATGACCATATGAACAAGTGCATATAGGTTAGTTTATACATATTGGTTGTTTGAATTTTCTCATAGTTGTTTAAGACTGTAATCGATCAGTCTCTTTTGACATATGTGCATCACGTGGGGATTGCCTCAATATTCCTAATAAGTCATCAGCATTTTTAAACAGAGATAGATAGTGGTTGGCAACAGAATCCAGAACTCAGTAGCTAAATGGATAACGCAATGGCTTTTGAAATGAACGGTACAGGGTTCGAGCCTCGGTTTGAACATACACTCTGGAATCCGGATACATCAAGCCGACGAGTCCCGAGAAGGACGAAACGCGCGTCTTGGATTCCATTGCTATCCACTATCCATCTCCGCTTTAAAATTCACTCAGGTTAGCTCATACTTCCGCATAGCAGTTCAACAAAAATCAATGAAAATTCATGGACTACTGTCACATAACACGATTGCTATAACCTGTGATCTACTTTCTCAAATTTAGTTGTATATATAACACTGCTGCGCTTATTCTTAGATATACTCTAAGTAAAACGAAAATTGATTATCATCAAATAAACAATTAACTAAATAATTCATCAAATAATTCATTAAATCATAGAATATTATACGTAATTTTGAAACACTAGGGAAGTAAATCACACGACAACAATCTAATATATATGATAGATGAGACCTGTTTGAATATCTGGACTACCTGTTCTTGCTATCTGAATATTTCAACAAGTTATATTTTCGCATGTTTGTTTTGGCACATCATTATGCCTATTAGTATCACAACCTATTCAAGTTTAAGATATTTCGCTGTAAAAGTTAAAAAAGAGCCCAATCAGAATCATCGTGGTTACTGGCAATATGCATCGAAAAGAATATACATGTAGAGTCCTGAACTGCTAACATCTAACCAGCGACCACTCAATATTTATCACAAAGACCGATCAATAAATAAGAAAAGGAAACCTATTGAAATAATTTGTACTGAGAATTCTTATATTGTACCAAAAATGTAATACTGAATAAAGCCAATAATACTAATTATTACCCTGAAGAAGTCCAGACAAGTTAGCTGGACAAAACGTTGGAATTAGTTAAATTTCAATCGCTGAGAATAATTCAAATATAATTTTCACACATAATGACTAATCTTAATAGTCGAATAAATATGGTGACATCGCAACATGAAATATCAAGCTAAATATATGAAGAAATTTAAGTCAATTCAGGAAGTGCTATGAACTATGCAAAAAGATAAAGCACTGAAAAAACAAGCTTTACAAATGAATCAATCATTTCTGTAAGGAGCTGGACGTATTAAAATAATCAACCTGTGAATTCAGTAGTGATCATAAGAGAATTTCTGGTCAATAATTCAATCATTACATTAGATCACCCTACCTAATAATTGGATATAGCTTCCTAAGCTTTTTAATTGGTTTAAAAAGACACATAACGGTCATAAAGAGGCAGCTTTAATAGATAATGGAGACAACAAAACATGAAACAAAGATGAGGAAGTTAAGATGTTTGAATTTTAAAAACATCTAAGGATGTCTTAAATCATGGACACTGAAATAGGTCAAGCGTAATGCATAAATTCGGGGGTATTTTGAAGAGAATAAAACTTATGTGTCTTACATTTTCCAAAATAATTGACCTCAGTTCTCATATGATTTAAAAAACACAAAAACAATTTTTATTATGAAATAGCGTACACGAAAAAACTCAGGAAGCACAAGATAATTGCTTCATCCTATTCTGGTTATTCCTCAGACTTCTACACCTATGGCACTAAACAGAATGTTTCTAGAGAGAGCCCAGTCTTACAATGAACACAATACTTTTTACAGTTTGAACAACGAACTGAACTTGGCTAGACCAACACTGAAAACCTGGAAGCACTGGATGGCCGTTTCGTTCCAGTATGGAACTTCTCAACAGTACACATCCGCGACCCAGCAACCGAGAACCAAACACGAGACCTGAAACCTCGCACGCAAACGTTTAACTTTTAAATCACTCAAACGATATTCAAAGGTATTAATGTGTAATTTTAATCAATTTATGATACTGCGTGACCATTTTCCATTGACTGCCTTGGATATATGTTTCACACCCGGCACGGATAGAACTCAACTGGTCACGGCTTCTCACTACGACTGCATGAGTGACACCTTGAAGCTAGTCACGAATGAGCCCATGGTTATTCATTTCAAATCACTAACTAATCATAGCTAAACTACTACTGAAAGTCTGGAAAAAAATATTTTTAGTCCATTGAATAGGATTTCGTAACTTCAGTCAACATATTGTCTTCAATCAAGAAAAAACAATTATTTAGTGATTTCTAGTTTTCATATTTTCTACGTTTGACTTCAGTTACAATGAAGTTTATACACTATCTAACTCCTATATATATATATATATATATATATATATGGAAGACAGTTTACGTTCACATTTCGAAATAAAGATCATATATGCACAAATACATATTAGGACAAACCTTTTAAACAACGAACGATACGTGTACATTCATAAACATAGTATATCAATAGAATGACGATGATGATAACCATATCCCTACAAGCATATACACATATTTATATAGATGTTTTGCCTACATAAACACATGCTAATAATAATAATAATAATAATAATAATAATAATAATAATAATAATAATAATAATAATAATAGTAACGATGCCGTATTTAATTCACAATTCATACAAAAAGAATAGTATATACACAATACAATACAAATTTGTTGATGAAATCTACATCCATTTATATATATATATAGGTCATTGTATATATATATATATATATATATATATATATATATATATATATATATATATATATATATATATATATATATATATATATTGTTGAAATATTAATTACTGGAAAGAGGAAGCGTTCATAATGTTTTTCTAACTAATATATAAAAGCATAGATTAAATTAATATTGAACATATTACTGATATAACAATCACAATAAACATAACATAACATCCAATCGACTTCAATCATCATTACTATTGTTATTACTATTAGTACTATTATATGGTGTAAATAAATTATAAAACAATTCAGATAAAGAATATCTTTTTTAATGAGTTCACTCCTCATAGTAAATCTCCGTATAAACTATTACAGTCATCTTCTAATATATTTTTCCTAAAGTGGAAAATGAATTGCCATGACTAATCAACTCAATGTACA